CGCTATGTAGACCAGACTGGCCTTGACTCACAGAGATCCGCCTGCCTCTGCCTCCTGAGTGCTGGGATTAAAGGCAGGCACCACCACACCCAACATTTTATTTTATTTTATTATTTTATTTTATTTTATTTATTTTATGTGTATAAGTGTTTTGCCTGTATGTATGTAAGTGCACCCATGCATGCAGTGCCTATGGAGACTAAAGAGGGCATTGCTAGAACTAGAGTTATGGGTTGGTTGTTAGCCAGCTGGTCTTGATCTCCTGATTCTCCTGTCTCCACCTCTGAAATGTTGGTGGGTGGGGTCTTCTGTTTAGATCAAGGACAGCAAGGAGCAGAGAGATCCCTGGCCAGCAAAGACGAGGATACAGGATATGGGGTGACTGGGTTTGGGGCTCCTCTGCTGTAAGCTCGGTTTCCTCTCATGACAGCTGAATACCACACTTACCTGTTGAGGTTACATATCTGAGTTTCGCTAAGACAGGCCTGGCATACAGCAGGCACTTCATAAATGCACATGGTGGGTAGGAAGAGGACAGAGCAAACGTGGGAACCAGGGAACAGGGGAGAAACTGGAAGCTGCTTTGCTGATGGTTTGCAGGAGGCACATGGGGACCTGCGGAGGCCTCAGCTTGTCCCCACTTCCTGCCTGGCTCCAGCCTGCCTTGTGGCTCCTGGGTCAAGAAACTGCATGCTGGGTCCAGGGACTCAGCTGATCACTTCTGTCACAGAGTGGACTCAATGAGTCACCCACAGCTGTGGCCACCTGTTACCACAGGATGTTGATGTGCAAAAGCCCAGGACATGGGGAGGCCACAGGGGACAGACCGCCCCTCATGTCCCTTCCATGCTGAATTCGGTTCCATCAAACTCCAACAAGGTAGAGGACAGCATGATGGGGTTGGGACATTAAGTTGGACTCCTCACAGCATCCAGTGCTTAGACATCAAAGATACACTTTGGAGTAAGGAAAGACAGAGATGTGGTGGTGCCTGCGTTTAGTCCCAGCACTAGGGAGGCGGAGGCAGGCGGATCTCTGTGAACTCGAGGCCAGCCTGGTCTACATAGGTCCAGGCCAGACGGGGCTACAGGGAGACCCTGTCTCAAAAAACCAAACAAACAATGAGGGAGGACATGACAGATAAGCATTTAAGTCACTGGGGAGAAGGCCCAGAGCACAAAAGGAGACTTGAAAAAAAAGATCAGAGAAAGGGACAAATGATGCATTTCATAGGACACAAAGATGATGACAAGGATCTCCGTCGTTTACAACAGAAAGGAGCAGAACGTGGTGGCTACGCCTTTGATCCCAGCACTTGGGAGGTAGGCAGAGGCAGGCGGCTCTCTGGGATTTCAAAGCCACCCTGGTCTACCTAGTGAGTTTCAGGATAATTGGAGCTACAGGAAGACCCCGCCCCAACAAACAGAAAGGGTCTGGAGAGCTGGTTCAGTGGTTAAGAGTACAGGCTGCTCTTGCAGAAAACCTGGGTTTGATTCCCAGCACCCACATGGTGGCTAACAACCATACGTAACTTGAGTTCCACGGGAACCCAATGCCCTCTTCTCACCTCCACAGGGATTGCACACACAGATGCACTTACACAAGTGTAGGCAATATACTCATACATATGAAATAAAAATAATAAGGGCTGGAGAGATAGCTCAGTGGTTAAGAGCATTGGCTGTTCTTGCAGAAAACCCACGTTATAATCCCAGCACCCACAAGGTGACTCAGTTCCAGGAGATCCAATGCCCTATTCTGTCCTCTGCAGCCACTGCATGGCATGATTGCACTTACACACATGCAGGCATAACACATAAAACAAAAATAAACAAATCAAAATAATAAGTAAAATAGAAAAAAATAAAACAGCAAAAAACTGGGCTGCGGGCGTGGTTCAGGGGTAGAGTCCAGAACCCCCAGTTGGGGGCTGGGGGTGTGGCTTGGCAGACTGCTTTCAGGTATGTGCAGGCTGACCTCTGTCCCATAGGCGTATGGTTCAACTTCGTGACAGTCAAACCCATCAGTAGAAACCGCAGGAATCTTTTCTCTTTCCCTGTCTCCCACAGTAGACAACTCCTAGGGACTCAGGCATGCTCATCAAGTGCTGTACCTCTCAGCCGTGCCCCATTCTGGGCATTTTTAAGAAACTGGGTTATTTTCTTCCTGTTGTTCAGTAATAGGAGCGGTGAAAATAAAGCACTCAGGAGGCAGAGGCAGGCGGATCTCTGTGAGTTCAAGGCCAGCCTGGTGCACATAGTGAGTTCCAGGTCAGCTGGGGCTACAGGGAGACCCTGTCTCAAAAAGACAAAAAAAAAAAAGCAAACAAACCAGGAACTGGAGAGATGGCTCAGCAGTTCAGAGCTCTGGCTGCTCTTCAGAGGACCCAGATTTGGTTCCTAGAACCCACATGGGAGCTAACAACCTTCCTTAACTCCAGTTCCAGAGGATCTGACACCCTCTTCTAACCTCCACAGGAACTGTATGACACGGGTGCACTTACCTACAAGTAGGCCATATGCTTATACACATAAACCAAAAAACAAGATATAAAATATTTAAAAGACCAAAAACAAACAAAAAACAAAAAACAAAAAAAAAGAGGAAGAAGGGGAGGAAGAGGTGGTAACGGAGGGAGTGGAAGAGGAGGAGGAGGAGGAGGAGGGAGGAGGAGCAGCAGCAGCAGCAGCAGCAGCAGCAGCAGCAGCAGCAGCAGCAGCAGCAGCAGCAGCAGCAGCAGCAGTGGCAAGGCAGCTCATTCCTCTGATCAGGAATAGAAACTGCAGGATCTTGAGTTCAAGGTCATTTTTCAATGTCTAGTGAGGTCCAGGCAAGCCTGAGCCTGAGCTTCTCCCTGCCTCCACCCCTAGTGCTGAGCTGACAGCGGTGTGCCGTTATGCCTGGGCATATGGTGCAGGGATAAAACACAGGACTTTCTGCATTACAGGCCAGCACTCCACCAGCTGAGCTCAGTTGGTAGAATGCTTGTAGTTCAGTTGGTAGGGTACAGTCTCTATTCCTGATTAGAGTAATGACAAGTTTGATGGTGTGAGCCTGGGATAGTGAAAGGGATGGGCAACAGAGGAGAAGGTCGTCTACATATTGTAGGACTATGGAAGGACTGTGGTCTAAGGTGGCCGGGTCACGGGGTAGGGCCTGTCCAAACAGGTGGGGGCTGTCCCGGAATCCCTGAGGTAGGATAGTCCAGGTCAGTTGGGAAGCTGTTCCGGAATCGGGGTCCTCCCAGGTGAATGCAAAGAGATCATGGAGTCAGGGTGTAAAGGGTTAGAGAAAAAGGCGTCCTCAGGTCCTGGACTGTACAATGAGTGGTGGAGGAGGGGATACGTGAGAGTAGGGTATAGGGGTTAGGGACCACTGGGTAGACGGGGACTACGGCTGCATTTATGAGCTGGAGGGCCTGAACTAAACGAAAAGATCTGTCTGGTTTGAGGACAGGTAGGATGGGGGCATTGTAGGGGGAGTGGGTGGGTTTGAGGAGGTGAGCCTTTACAAGTCTCTGGATGATAGGTTTGAGTCCTTAACGGTGTTTGAGAGCAGTAGGTACATAGAGGAATCTTTGAAGGTGATATGGATGGCGTGTGGTGAGAGGCCAGTCCCAGAGTGGAGGTGTCCCAAACTTGGGGATCAACCTCAGATGTGGGAGTGGCCAGGTTTTGTTTTGAGGGGGAGGAGCTATAGGGGAGAGAATGAAGACCCGGGAGGGGAGAGAGAGAGAGAGAGAGAGCGCATAAGCTCTCTACCAAGTAAGGGAGATGGGCATGAGGGCAGGACTCAAAAGACACGGAGTTAAGGGAGTTTTCCAAAATATACAAGAGAAGGGTCCTGTTGTTTTGGGGAAATGGGGTCTTCCATGTACCCCCACCACAGAGATCTGTGAGGGAAAAACCCTACCAGAGGGGGAGGGGAGAACAGACCATGACGCCCCTGTGTCTATAATAAAGGAAATAGACTTACCAGCTACTGTAGCCATACCCTGGGCTCCTCCATAGTGATGGTTATAGATGAGGTGGGGGCTGAGGAACCAGGGTCTCATTAGTCTTCGCCCGCCAGGCCCAGAAGATCGTTGATGGACTCCTGCAAAGTGGATGGGGTCAGGGAGGAGACTGGCCTACCTTGACGTGGCAAAGAAGGACAATCGATCCTCCAACGACCTCTCTGTCCACATTGAGGGTAGGGAGGGTTCCGGTGGTGCGCGTGGGTTGGGGCATTGTTTGGTCCAGTGTCCAGTCTGTCCACATCTGATGTAGGGTCCTGGTGGCTGACACTGTGTCACAGTAAAGCTGGAGATTGTCTTCTTTGGAGGAGCCCTTAGAGCTGCGGCCAGCAGCTGGTATTTTTGTTTAGACAGGGCTAATTTGTGTGTCCTAGTCTGCTCCTCCTGGTTATTAAAGATTTTAAATGCCATTTCTAACAGATCTCCCTGGGGGGTGTCCAGGCCCCTTTCTAGCCATCTAAGTTTTCTCCTAATATCAGGGGCAGATTGTGAAATGAAATGATGGTTTAGCATAAACCTGCCATCTTTAGAATTTGGATCATATCTGGTATACTGCCTCAGAGCCTCAATAAGTCTAGCCAGAAACTGTGCTGGGCTTTCAGAGAGGTTTGGGGTAATTTCCTATAGTTTATCAAAATTGACAGTTTTATGGGATGTTTTCTCTAATCCTGTAAGAAGGCAAGTAATCATAAAATTGGGAGATTTTTTTCCCATCCTGGGTCCTGGCTGGAGACAGTGAGAGTCCCAGCAGGAGAATCCTCATCAGTTACATGGAGTTCATTGGCTTACTCTTGGGTCTCCATGCAAACCCGTTCCCTCTCAGCGGAGGTCAGGGGAGGGAGGCTGACAAAGACGTCGTGCCAGGTCAAGTCATAAATGAGAGTTAAATATTTAACTCTTTAATGACTCGGGCTGGGTCTGTGGAGAGGATTCCAATCTTTTCTCTATTTGGGACATGTTGTTAAGAGAGAAAGGGACACGGACTCTGAAAACTCCCTCCACCCCAGCTACCTCGAGGAGAGGGTAGAGACCCTTGGGGTTAGTGGGTTGAGGCGGCGATTGCAGTGAGAGACGAGGGCCGGCGAAGGAGGGAACAGAGGAGTTGACTTTTCTTTAGCTGAAGGATATGGGGAAGCTGCCAAGGCAACCGAAGAAGCCAGGCGCTCAGCAGAGTCCAGCAAGAGTTTTAGGAGTGAGGTGACCGAGGCGTGGGGGATGGGAAGGGCGAGGGGCGGGGGCGGAGTCGGGGGGAGGCCGCAGGAAGGCGGGTTGCAGTGCCCCCAGCGGCGGAGGCAGCGGCTGCAGCTGGAGAACTGGAGGGGCGGGAAAGGGGCAGCGGGGGAAGGGGCGACGAGGAGGATTTGGGGAAGTGAGGAGGAGGAGGGGCAGAGGGGCCGCTGTCAGCAGGAGGGGTTCTTGCCGAGAGAGGCATGAAGGATAAAGAAAACGTGGACGTGGGGTGTTCGGACCGCTTGGCGTTCTGTTGGCGGAAGTTATCTAAATCTCTTAAAATACTGAAATCTAAGGGTCCTGTCTCTGGCCAGATAGAACCATTGTCTAGCTTGTACTGCGGCCAGGAAGTGGTGCAGAGAAATTTGAGGCGCTTAGGTCTGACAGTGCCCAGAAGATCTAAAGTTTTTCTTTTGTCTTTTTGAGACAGTGTCTCCCTGTAGCCCCAGCTGTCCCGGAACTTAGTATATAGACCAGGCTGGCCTCGAACTCACAGAGATCCGCCTGCCTCTGCCTCCCAAGTACTGGGACTACAGGTGTGTGCCACCATGTCTGGCAAGATCTAGTTTTTAAAGATTTTAAGAGGCAAGCAAGGGGGGTGAGTCCAGTAGGTTTAGAGTTGAGATTGTCCATTTTAATTAAAGGGATGAGGAAGAGAATGAAAAGGGCAGCGAGTGTGAGGCGATGAGAGACAAAGAGGAAAGGGGAGGCTTGTGGGCGCCTCCAGGGAAAGAGGAGGTTGGGAGTGAGGCTGCCTAGGAAGACAAGTGCCAGAGGAGGAGAGAGACAGAGAGGACGAGAACAAGAGAGGAAAGAGGCACAAAAGAATAGGTGTGCCAAATGACCACGTGGGACCAACATCCAAAGGCATCCCTCTGAGGAGAGGGTCCCGAAAATGAGTGTCCCAAGGTAGACCAGGGAGGGGAAAACGTGGGATCTCCTGACGTACCAGTACGATTTAATGAGGAACAAGAGAGCCAATGACTGTATGGCAAGGAGAAGGAAAAAGGAGAGAAGGGGGGGGAGGGAGGGAGGGAGGAGAGAGAGAGATCAGGAAAAGATTTGAGAGCATTGGATGGATGGGTCTATCTGCCAGGTGGGCTTAGGCAGACACAGCAACCGTACGGGATACCCAATGGTCACACAGGCCCGTGCTGCCCGGTGACCAAAGTTCTGAGTCTGGGAATGACTGATGGTTGTGATGAGGAGAGTGCCAAATGGCAGGGAGAGGGAGGGTGGCAGCAGGGTATAAGGCAGCAGTGAGCCAAGGTCTGAGTCTGTGAAGGACTGATAGTTGTGATGAGGAGAGTGCGAAATGGCAGGGAGAGAGAGGGTGGCAGCAGGGTATAAGGCAGCAGAGGAAGAGAGAGAGAGAGAGAGAGAGAGAGAGAGAGAGAGAGAGAGAGAGAGCGAGCCTGATGACCGAATTGGTGGTGAGTGCAGTAGCCGGTATCTGGTGGCTTGGTCCGGCTAGAGTCCTCACGGCCAGACCCTAATAGGCGATCCGAGTCACGGCACCATATGTTAGCTTAAAAAGGTAGCAGGGGTCAGGATCACTACAAAACAGAAACAAAGAGGACTCTGGCAAAGTGAAAGTTTAATGAGGTTTGTCGGGGCTGGTCCTCAACTCGGGTGTGAGGAAGAACCAGCGGCCTAATGGCTCTGGGGGGTAGCTTTTAAAGGGAAAGAATTCGGAAAAAGAATATTTTTCTGCTGTTTGGGACTGTTTTGGGGGCTTCGTGCTCAGGGAGGGCATGGGGTCTGTACCTGGTGGAGCTTATCGAGGAAAACATCTACTGTAAAACATGTTTTTCTACAATTACAGGATTCCAGTAATTAATTGCAGCTAAGGGTTTGGGAAACCTGTTTGTCAGCCTGTGGAGCATGCTCTAGTGATCACAATACATTGGTCATTAATTTTCCCAGAGCTGCTTCTGTTAACTTGTAGGTGGCTGGGAGTTGGTTGACTCAGTTCCTCTTAGAGGCCTTATGGTTTCTGGGTCTGGAGTTGCCTGGATCTGAACCCTATCAATAAGCACTCCACCAACTGAGCTCCAGGCACTCTTACAACTGAGCCCCAGGAACCCTAGCAACTGAGTTACAAGCACTCTACCAACTGACCTCTAAGCATTGTTATAACTAAACTCCAATCACTGTTACAACTAAGCCACAGGCACCCTCACAACTGAGCTACAGGCATTCCACCAACTGAGCTACAAGCAATGATACAACTGAGCTACACCCTGAGCCCCAATTTCCCCGATATGTGTGTGATGGGAACAGAACTTTATCATCAGCTGAGCATCGATGTCCTTTCTCCTGTGGGGGAACTTTTCTTCTTATCCTAGTTGTGTGTTTTTTTTTTCTTTCTCTTTCTTTCTTTCTTTTTCTTTCTTTCTTTCTTTCTTTCTTTCTTTCTTTCTTTCTTTCTTTCTTTCTTTCTTTCCTTTTGGTCTTTTTGAGACAGGGTCTCCCAGTAGCCCCAGCTGTCCTGGAACTCACTATGTAGATCAGGCTGGCCTTGAACTCACAGAGATCCACCTGCCTCTGCCTCCGAAGTGCTGGGATTAAAGGTGTGTGCCACCACACCCAGCTTTTTTTTTTATGTATATGAATGTATCGCCTTCATGTATGTAAGTGCACCCATGTGCACAATGTCTTTAGAGGTCAGAGGGCATCAGATCCCCTGGAACTTGAGTTACAGACGGTTGTTAGCCACCATGTAGGTGCTGGTATGGGATTCAAACCCAGGTCCTCTGCAAGAGCAATCAGTGCTCTTAATTGCTGAGCCATCTCTCCAGCCCAAGTGTTATTTTTCTTAAATCAGAAAATGGCTTTGGATTTACGAAATGCCTTTTTTGATCAGTTGAGATGATCATGTGGTTTCCCCCCCTTGGTTCATTAATGTGCTGTGTTATCGTAATTGATTTTTTCGTAATGACTCACTCTTGAATTCCAGGGGTTACTGGTACCTGGTCACAGGGAACAACTGTTCAGATAAGCCACTGAGCACACCTGCTAGCAATCAGCTTACAGAATTTGCATTTACACTTTGGTCTGCAGTTCCTGGCTTGTGATAACTTTTTTTTTTTTAAGTGTGTGTGAGTGTACTGCCTACATGCGGGTAACTGCACCCATGTCATGCAATGCCCGTGGAGGTCAGAAGAGGCTGTCAGATCCCCTGGGATTGGAGTTACCGTTGTTAGCTGCCATGTGGGTGCTGGGAGTCAAACCCCGGTCTTCTGCAAGAACAACCAGTGTCCTTAACCACTGAGCCATCTCTTCAGCCCCATTGTGATAACTTTTTATCTAGCCTAGGAGTGAGATCAAAGTAGCAGGCTTTGGGATGTCCACCTGGGATCCTAACACTTGGGAGGCTGAGGCAGGAGAATGAGCTAACCTGGGCTATGAGTAAGCTACTGTCTCAAAGAAAACAAAGTGAAATTAAATGAAAAAGAAGAAAAATATGCTGACTTCATTAAAAGTGTTCCCATTTCCTCCTCCTTCCCCTCCTTCTTCCCTTTCCCTCTCCTTCTTCTCCTCCCCCTCCTCCTCCTCCTTCTTGGAAGGGTTCAAGGGAAGAAAGGCCATCAGTTCTTCTGTAAATGTTTGATCTGTCAAACATTCACTAGTGAGTCCCTGCGGCATTGGATGTTCTTTGCCAAGAGATTCTTGTTTAGTGATTCTAGCTCTTTATTTGTTATAGATCTCTTGAGATTTTAGGATCTTGATTAGCAACTCTAGCTCTTTCAGAACTCTTGAATTTTAGAATCTTTGTTTTTGTTATTCTATTTTTAAAGATTTATCTTTTTTTAGATTAAGTCTTTTATGTGTATGAGTGTTTTGCCTGCATGTAAGTGTACCTGTGGGCGAAATGCCTGCAGAGGACAGAAGAGGGCATCGGATTCCCCAGGAACCTGAGTTAAGGATGGTTGTTAGCTGCCATGTGGGTGCTGGGATTTGAATCCACTTCTTCTGCAAGAACAGCCAGTACTCTTAACCACTGAGCCATCTCTCCACCCTAATTTTGAAATGTTTATTAGTGACTTCATCTCTTTATTCATTGTAGATCTCTTGAGCTTTTTCCTCTCTTCCTGAGTCAGTTTTGGTAATGCGGATGTTTCTAGGGGTGTGTCTACTACATCCCTATTCTCCCCCTGTGGCTGCCATTTCCTGTGTAAGGCCTTATGTCTGACTAGTCTTTGGTTCTCCCTCCTTCAGTGCTAACCTAGCTTGTGGTGTTTTTGAGGCAGGACCCTGTAGCCCAGGCTAGCCTTGAATAGCATAGGTGGACCTTGATCTTGTCCTGCCTCGGGCTCCCTTTGTACAAGGCTCCAGATGTCACTACCACACCTGGCTACATTTTATTCTCTGTCTCAGAAGAGTTTCAGGTTTCACTGATAGGAGCTGGGTTTCATCTCTCTCAGGTTGATCTTTACGGTTTCCTCCAGTCCTGCTAGCTCTAAATTTAGCTTGCCCTCTGGTTTTCACTTCCTCCAGGTTACTGATTACAGGTGGTTCATCTTTTATGATGTGGAATTCACACTTTCTCTTGTCTGCTGCCTGCGCCGCACCCTGTGGGGATTTTCTTTTGTTTCTTTCTTTTTTTTTTTTTTTGGTCTTTTTGAGACAGGGTCTCCCTGTAGCCCCAGGTGACCTGGAACTCGCTATGTAGACCAAGCTGTCCTCGAACTCACAGAGATCTGCCTGCCTCCCGAGTGCTGGGATTAAAGGCTTGCGCCACCACGCCTGGCGATATTTTTAGATTTAAATGTATGAGTGTATTGCCTGCATGTATGTGAGTACACCCATGTCATGCAATGCCGTGGAGGTCAGAGGAGAGCTTTGGATTCCCCTGGAGCTGGAGTTAAGGACAGTTTGTAGCTGCCATGCGGGTGCTGGGAATCCAACCCAGGTCCTCTGCAAGAGCAGTCAGTGCTCTTATCCGCTGAGCCATCTCTCCAGCCCTGATATTTTTAGATTTAAAAGGGCTTGTTTTGTTGTCTAACACAACATGGTCTTCCCTGGAGAAACAGGCTGTCCTTGGTGACTGGCAGATGACCTGCCACCCTAGTCACTTCTGCTTGGCAGTCAGACAGCCCTCTTCTTCTTTACCTTTCCTCCACAGTCTCTTTTCTCCTCCTGGTCCTGCAGCTGGACCTCAGGGCTTCATGAATACTCAGCAAGCCCTCTGCCACCCAGCCCCAGCCCAGCCGTGACCCCAACAGCAGAACCCACTCCTGGAGCTTGACCTCCACACATTCACTATGGTGCACACCTCCCACATTATTTATTATTTATTTATTATGTGTATGAGTGTTTTGCCTGCATGTAAGTATCCCGTGCATGCAATGCCTGGTGAGGCCAGAAGAAAGAGACACGCGGGGTAAGAAAAGGTATCTAGGAAAAGAGCAAACAAAGAAGGCCCCGGCGGGTCGCAGCTATTTATCTATCTATTTATTATAATTCAGTGTCCCATCTTACAGCTCTGGCTGTCCTGGAATTCACACATGCCTCAGTCTCCTGAGAGTCGGCATGAGAGCCGGGTGCCACACTCGGATGGAAGTGTGCGTGTGCAGGAGGATGTGCAAGTTCGTGCTCAGGTGCACATACAGACGGCCTGCTCCCAGGACCCTTCTGTCTCCGCCTCCCCAACGCTGGGGTTACAGACACAGTCACCTCCTCAGGTTTGTACAAGGGCGCAGGAAATTAAAACTCAGGATCTTGTGCTTTCGTGGCAAGCTCCAGTCCAGCCCCATAAGCTGCTAAATGTCTTTTTTCCTCCCATTTTCTGCAAAGGCTCTGGGTGCTGGCCTCAAAGTCCCTCTGGGTGCCCCGGAGTGTTGGACTCACAGCCAGGGCCGGCTGCGATTGATGTAAATCAGCCTTCATTTGCATAAGTGACTTTGCGGTGATTGGTGAGAACACGGGTTCATTTGCATGCCGTGCTGTGATTGGTTCAAACACCCTTGGCTCAACCCTCGCTGGCTATATAAACACGCTGTTCGTCTCCCTCTTGGGATATTGCTGGTCAAAGTCTTGTTGTGTCATCTGGTGCTGTCAAGACTTGTCGTGTGTGTGTGTGTGTGTGTGTGTGTGTGTGTGTGTGTGTGTGTGTGTGTGTGTGTGTGAGAAAGGGCTTCTCTGTAGCCTCAGCTCTCCTGGAACTCACTATGTAGACCAGGCCGGCTTATGAACTCACAGAGATCCGCCTGGCTCGCCTCCCGAGTGCTGGGATTGAAGGCTTGCGCCACCACACCATGTTTAAGATTTTAAAATTTTTAAATTTTTATGTGTGAGTGTTTTGCCTGCATGTGTGTAAGTGTAAGCTTGTGGAGACTAGAAGAAGATCCTTGGAATTGGAGTTACTGACAGTTGTTAGGCTCCATGTGGGTACTGGGAACTGAACCCAGGTCCTTTGCAAGAGCAGCCATCTCTCCAGGCTCAGCTTTGTTTTTTGTTTTTTTATTTTATTTTTGAGGAAGTGTCTCATGTAGCCCAGGCTGGCCTCCAACTTATTATGTAGCCAAGGATGACCTTTTTTAAAAAATTTTTTAAATTATTTTTATGTGTATGCATGTATTGCCTGCATTGTAGGTAAGTGCACCCATGTCGAGCAATGCCCTCAGAAGACAGAGGTGGCTGTCGGATCCCCTGGAACTGGACAGTTGTGAGCAGCTATGTGCTGGGATTCAAACCTGGGTCTTCTGCAAGAACAATCAGTGTTCTTAACCGCTGAGCCATCTCTCCAGCCCCCCAAGGAGGATCTTAAATTCGTGATCTTCTTCCCTCTGCCTCTGGACTGCTGGGATGACAGGCTGAAACTGGTTTATGCTGAGGATGGAACCCAGGGCCTCAGCATGCTAGGCATCATCCTACCAACTGAGCTCCAAGCACTCTACCCACTGAGCTCAAGCACCCTACCCACTGTCCCCAGGTCCACCCCTCGATTTTCTATTTCAGCCTGGGTGCTGCAACCCTGAAAGGCGGTGTCCTGGGGCTCTCCTTCGGAGGGCCCAGGAAGGCCAGGCTTGCTTGTCTGTTAGTCTATTTTGTCTGCTAGAGCGATTTCACAGAGCAGCAGCAGCAGCAGCAGCAACACCACCACCACCACCACCACCACCATCACCGGGCTCTGCAGCATGACTCAGCGGTTTTTCAGCTTAAAGTGCCCAACCCAGCAGAAAAAGGCGCACACCTCATGACCCCACGAGCAGTGGGAAACCTCACCATTCCTAGGCTCCAAACCTGGCAGGGATCTGCTCAGAGCAGACTAGTGACAGAGGACCTGACACCAAGACCTGCAGGGAGTGGAGGGTCAGCCAGGATGGGAGTCACCTGGTTTCCTTGCAGTGTTGGAATGTTCTAGAACCCAAGAGAGATGTTTGTATTATATAAAATAGTAGATTTTATGCCACATGTACTTTAGAACAATAAAACAATTCAATAAGGCCAGGCATGGTGGCACACGCCTTTAATCCCAGCACTCGGAGGCAGAGGCAGGTGGATCTCTGTGAGTTCAAGGTCAGCCTGGTCTACATAGTGAGTTCCAGGCCAGCTGGGGCTATAGTAGACCCTGGCAAACACACACACACACACACACACACACACACACACACACACAATTAATTAATTAAATTAAATAATAAATAAAACAATTCAGTAATAAATTCGTACATAAAAGTGACCTTCCTCAGGAAGTGAGCCTTGGGCCAGGAATGAATGAATGAGTGAATGACTTCTTCATGGACTCAGGGTGTCCTGGCCTGTCCACAGTCAGAAAATAGACATGGCACAGCAAACAGCTTGCCCAAGAGCACACAGCCCAGAACTCGGGTCCTCAGAATTCCGAACTCGGGTCTCCTCTGATTCAGGGGCTCTTTGAACCTAGTCCTGGCACTGTGAGCCAGGACTGCCGTTCAGTCTCTGCAGCCCCTCACCTGGCTCTGCATGTCCCGGCTCAGAGAGAGACCCTGTCTCAAAACTCCAAGAATGAAGGGGCCTTCCCCTGTAGCCACACAGACACCCCAACCCTGAGTGGTCAAAATGGGGCCAACAGGAAGGCTTAAAAGGGGGGATGGGTCACTGAAGGTGCAGTTTAGAGGTGTTAATAGGAGTTAACCATAAAATTTGTCTAAGTCTACCTGAGCTTTAGTCTGGTTGAAACTGAGTTGCCTAAGAATTTCAGGGCTCTCAGTCAGTGAATCCTGGGGTTTCAGCTGACCAGTGCTGAGCTCCCAAAGGTCTGAGTGGTGACAGCCAACTGCCTGGGCTCTGGGGGTGTCCTGGATGACCCAGGCTCTCCCTGACTCACAAGATAACCAAGACCTCAGGATGGCAGGTTGTACCTGCCCTTCAGGGACTCCAGAGACATTTTCAAACAATTTGTTCAGATCTTGAGCCAAAACTGTGTTTGCTTTGAATCACAAGGCACTGTGGAAGTGGGTTTATGCTTTCCGGTCTATGGCATGTGTTTGACGAGGGTGGTGGTGCTGACCCAGCAAGGGTGGACTGATCACCTCTGCTCTAGTTTGTGAACCCCAAGACACAAGGAAGGCAGGATCGTGACTGCCGGCTGAGGTCATGACTGGCCGGCTGCCCACAGCCCAGCACCTCACCTCCCTGGGCTCAGCCACGGGACTGGTTATGAGGGCATCAGCTCAAATTTGGGGGAATGGAAGCTAAGCTGGCAGGTTGCCATGTTCCAGAGTTTTCTGAACCAGAAATCTCCAGTTGGGGAGTGAGGAGGATAGGGCACCGCATGGAGCCCTTTGGAGAACATTCCATGAATAAAATGAATGGCTTCTAGTCTTTTAAAAAAATATTTTATTATTTTTATTTTATGTGTATGAGTGTTATGCCTGCATATAGGTAAGTGTACCCATGTTGTGCAATACCTGCAGAGGACAGAAGAGGCTGTCAGATCCCCTGGAACTGGAGTTACAGACAGTTGTAAGATGCCATATGGGTTCTGTGATTCGAACCCGGGTCTTCTGCAAGAACAGTCAATGTCCTTAACCATTGAGCCATCTCTACAGCCCCACCAATTCTAGTCTTAAGGGGGGAGATGGCCTTGCATGGGCCGGGGCACCAGTCTGGATAGAAAGGATGGAATACTATATAGCTAGGAAAAGAGGCTCACATGGTGAGCTCACATCTGTCATCTCAACACTCAGAAGACTGAGGCAGAAGGATCGTGAGTTCTGGGCCAAAGTGAGAGGCAGATGGCAAACGAGAAAGTCTTACTATTATTAGGACTCTGACCCCAGGGGTCCCAGGTTCCCCCAGAAGGTGGGTGCTCTGACACGTCTGGTGCTCTGGCCTGTCTGGTGCTCTGGCCTGGGCCCCCTTCTCCTGCAAACTGGCCATAAGTTTGAGTGGTAGAGAAATGGACAGGTGCATTTACTGAGTGCCTTACTGTGTACTCAGGTTACATGGGATCTCTAGACTTCTGCCATAGCCTTTTGTGACTCCACCCAGTGGAATGCAGAACTGGAGGGTTGGCTGTTGGGGGTGTGAGACCTGGGGACCGAAGATCCCAGCAGGAGTCGTTGGTGACACATCTTTTCGAGGGGGATGTGTTTTTTGTTGGTTTTTTTTTTGTTTTTTTTTTTTGTCTTTTTGAGACAAGGGTCTCTCTGTAGCCCCAGCTGGCCCAGAACCCACTTTGTAGACCAGGCTGGCCTCGAACTCACAGAGATCTGCCTGCCTTTGCCTCCCCAGTGCTGGGATTAAAGGCTGTGGGCCACCACGCCCGGCTCAAGGAGGGGAATGTGTTTTTGAGGGGCCGACGCTGGAATTCAGGGCCTCTGCATGCTAGGCGAGCTCCCCCCCCCTGCATATCCCAAAAAATCTTTCTGGGAACACAATCGTTTCCTTGTCCTCCAGCCCACTGCAGCGCAGCGATTTTTCCATGTTTTCCAAGGTGACACTGAGGTTCAGAGAGGGAGGGAGCCTGAGCTGGCTGAGGCTGCTTGTTTCTCGGCGCACACGGTCACGCTGAGAGGAACCCGCACCTTGCTTTGATCTGGGTCGCTGCTCTGGGCTGCCGCTGGTGATACTCCGGTGGCAGCCACCGGAGGCGCGCGTCGCGCCTGTCCAGCAGGAGCACGTGTACCGTGCCCGGTCTGCAGAGAGGCAGTCAGGCTGTGAGGAGCAGCTGAGCAGGCAGGGGAGCAACCGGGCAGCTCGAACTCAGCTCGAATGAATCCTGGGACTCTCTTCCCACTCCCACTGAGTCGCCCCCACAACTTCTCAGCAGTTCCCACCCCAGGAGCCCCGGGCCACCCATAATACCTCAGTTTCCTCGTCTGTGACTCGCAGGCCTCCTGACTCAGCCTCTCGCGGTAAGAAAGTCAGTTCTCGCTCTCCAAGGCCCCTGTCCGATGCACAGAGAGGCTGAGGAACCTGCCCTCGGTCACACAGTCACAATCGGAGCAGAGCTGCGATGTGAACGGTAATCCGTGTTCTAGAGTGAGCAAACCGTCCTGTGTCCTCCCTACAACGTGGGCCATCTTGCCCCCACCGTCAGGGAAACCAAGGCTCCACCAGTCGATGCTCTTGGTTCCTGATGTCGTGGCTCGGTGACTCCAGTGACCAGTGACCCCAGGCCGGTTTTTGCCAGATCAGCAACTTCCCAGGATTCCGGACTCACCAGGTGGAGAGTTCGGACGTCTGACACTTAAATTTGGGGAAAATCAGTCCAAAATGGAGGTAATCCCAAAGCCCCACTCGCACCGGCTAGCTGCACAGGAGGCCTCCAGACCAGCTTCCCCTTGGGGCTCAGTGACACCAAAAACTGCCCTCAGCTGTGAGTCCAGTGGGCGGTGCCATCTGCGCTGCATCTTGACCTTGAAGAGAAGCCCACTTGGCAAAGGGTCGCAGGGCGACAGGTGGCCGTCCTCACCTGTCACAGGTCATAAGAGGTTAGCGCACTGCGCCTGCCTAGGGGGCGGAGCCTGTGTGCAGGGGCGGGGCCTGAAATGTGGGCGGGGCCTGGTCTGCGGGTGCAGGGGCTCCTCACCCACTGGCTTGAGCGTCAGGCCCGGGCCTCTTTCGAGCAGGCCAGGGGGTTAGGGGGAGAGCAGAGGCCCCTCACCAGCCAGTCACCCCGGAAGTGGGGGCGGTTGGCAGGGACTTATCACGCACCTACTATACAGTCCGTGTCACATCAGGGACATCGAGACCCTAGTCATAGTCCACGTGACCCAATGGGACCACGACAGCGGGGGTGTGTGGGCCAGGAGGCCCCAGGGCCTGTCTGGAAGGAGTCTGTCTTGCATGCCGGCGGGCCGCAGGCACATGCACCCCCCCACTACACACACACACACACACACACACACACACACACACACACACACCCTGACCGCAGAGGCCTCCTCTCCAGGCCCAGGCTGCTGCTGGGGTTCAAGTCCTGTAAGTGGAAGCGAGCGTGGGCGCCCCAGGAGCGGGGCACTCCTAGACACCTCATCCTCACTTCCTGCCATCGGCGGCTGAGCCTGATACTTCTCTCCTCGCCTTGCCTGCAGCTCCCTAGGGGCTACAGCTTCCATTCAGGGCATAATCAAGGAATGGCAGCCGGGCCCCAGCTCGGAGGCAGAGGCAAGCGGATCTTTATGGATCGAGGCGGCTTGGTCTCCATAGTGAATCCCAGGACAGGTCCGGCTACAGGGAGACCCTGTCCCAGCAAAAAAGGAGTCTCATGTAGATTGCTTTCAGCCCTTCGGAGGGTACTCAGGTCTGGGGGAGACAGAGCCAGGCACAGACATTTCCAGGGCCGTGAGGTCAGCTCTGGGCAGGCCAGGGACAGGGAGTGTGTGAGCGCCAGTCAGCATGGACAGGTGAAGTGCAACCGGCTTCTGCTTGCACAAGGCTTTGTGCAGTGAGTGGGAGTTAACTGAACCCCTGGTCTGCGAAGCCCTGCAGTTTGACTCCGTCCTTCACGGCTCATTGTCCAGGTTTGCAAGCAAGTCCAGTTCCACTCCAGGTCCAAGACAGTGGACACTGAGCCATGTAGAAGGGGAATTGCCCAAGCTTGCCTTTTCTGGTTATTTCTCAGCTTTAGAGAGAAAGGGGGTGGGGGTGGGGACACGTTGGTCCCGAGAGGAATGGATGGATTGGAACTCCGGACTGGGCCAATAGCTGTTGTTCTTCCTGGGCTGAGAGGTGTTAGCCATGGTCACTCCAGTTGGCACTGCCCACGGGGGCGGGGCAGAAAAAGTTCAACGGTTATAAAGGCAGCGACAAGCCGTCCGGCTCAAAAGCCATCACGAACCACCGCTGACATGTCCCGGCCCCGGGCGACAGCAGCCCCTCCGGCCCTGCCCGGACCCGAAGCCCCGGGCTTCCGGCTGCGCCTCCTGCTGTTGCTGTTGCTGTTGCTGCTGTTCTGGCCATCACCAGGGGATGCCTTGGCTCTGCCAGAGCTGCGACGCTCTGATCCAGGGTCCCAGTTCGACGCCCACCGCGACCACGAGCTGCGAAATCGCGTCCAGGCTCTACTGAGCAGGCTGCAAGCCAACCAGAGCCGGGAGGATTCGAACTCCGAACCCACTCCAGACCCTGCCATCCGAATACTCACTCCAGAGGGTGAGTGGCATCTGGGGACCCTGTTGAGCAGCCTGAGGTCTAACCCATACATCCAAGTCTGGGAGGCTTAGCCCAGATCCTGAGCCTCAGTTTCCCCAAGTGAAACCTGGTAGCAGCACCCTGTCGCTCAGGAGTAGCGGATCCCTGGATAGCGGCTGGGCACCTGACCCACAGAGAGGTCAGGATCGGCCCTGAAGGTGCACAGCACCCGGGGACCCCGGGGACGGGTGAGGCTGAGGGTGCGGTCTGGCCCTGACCTGGAGACAGAGTGGGGTCCGGGAGGAAGGATAGAGGGAAGAAGGGCCAGTTGGAAGAGAGGGAAAGAACCTGCTGGAGCTGGTTCCAATATCTGACGCAATCGCTGGTTAAGACTGTTAAAGTCAGAAGCGACATTAGCCTGGAGGCGGGTGTTGAGGCCCAGGCAGCGCTAGGACCCGGGGAGGCAGGAGGGCGGGGCCAGAAGAGCGACCACGCCCCCCACCCCTGAATGGTGCCGAGTGGCTCCAGGTGACCCTCCTTCACTGTCTTACCGCCGGCCGTGGGGTGTCGCCAGCCTCCCTGGTCTCGCTGTGGTGGCGCATGCCTGTAACCCTTAGGAGGCTGAGGCAGGAGGATAGCTACGAGTTCAGGGTCACTCTGGGCTGCATAGTGAGGCTCTGTCTCCAGAATTTTCTTTTGGATTTTTGTTGTTGTTGAGCTAGTCTCTGTAGCCCAGACTGGCTTCGAACTAGCTTCGCGGCAATCCCCTTGCTTCCGCTTTCCCACACATGGGATGACGTGTGTCAGCCACCATGCTCTGCTTAAAAAATTTTTTAGGGGGAGGGATTTGGGCTGGAGACATGGCTCAGCAGTTAAGAACACTGACTGTTCTTGCAGAAGACCCGGGTTCAAATCCCAGCACCCACATGGCAGCTCACAACTGTCCTTAACTCCAATTCCAGGGGGTCCAACGTCCTCTGCGGGCATTGCACGACACAGGTGCACTTACCTACAAGCAGGCAACACACACACACACATAAAAATAAATAAAACTAAAAATTTTTATTTTTTTATTTATTTATTTTTTTACTATGAGAAGAAATTAGAGCCAGGGCTTGAATCTCCAGACTTTCCAAAGGGCAGATACGGGTTCATTGCTTTAAGCACTTATTAAGTAACTGCTGTGTGCCAGGGGCGAGCTGGCCGAGCTGGGCTGAGAGACTCATTAGGGAGAGAACACACAGCAGGACATAAAACACTGCAGTTTGGGGCTAGGCGAGTAGTGGGATGGGCACCGCCCATCGTGGGGCGTGGCGCAGTGCAAAGGCCCCGGGATCACATCACACTTGCTCTCACTCCGGCGCACCACAGGCGCGTGAGCAACAGGCTTTCTCTTTTTCCCTTGCAGTGCGGCTGGGGTCCCACGGTCACCTGCGGCTCCGCATCCCGCGGGCGTCGCTGACGCAGGGTCTCCCCAAAGCCTATCGCGTGCACCGAGCGCTGCTCCTGCTGTCCCCGTCGTCCAGGCCCTGGGACATCACGCGGGTACTGCAGCGCGCGCTCAGTCTCCGGGGACCCAGCGGCCCCGCACTGCGCCTCCGCCTGTCGCCGCCTCAGGGCCTGGCCATGGCGCCCACTAGCGGCGCGCGACTGGAACTGCAATTTCGAGGGGCCGCCTCCAGGGGGCGCCGCAGTGCGCATGCGCGCCAGAGAGACTCCTGCCCGCTGGGCCCCGGGCGCTGTTGTCACCTGCAGACCGTTCAGGCGACCCTCGAGGACCTGGGCTGGAGCGACTGGGTGCTGTCGCCGCGCCAGCTGCAACTGAGCATGTGCGTGGGCGAGTGCCCGCATCTGTACCGCTCAGCCAGCACGCATGCGCAGATCAAAGCCCGCCTGCACGGCCTGCAGCCCGACCGGGTGCCGGCCCCTTGCTGCGTCCCCTCAGCCTACACCCCAGTGGTTCTCCTGCACAAGACAGACAGCGGCCTGGCCCTGCAGACCTACGACGACCTCGTGGCCCAGGGCTGCCACTGCGCATGAGCAGCAGGCCCTGACCCTCTCCTGCGTGCATGGGGCGGCGCCCCCTTGTCGCCTAAGAACTCTATATGTGTATTTATTTGTTATTATTATTTTATTATTTTTTATTATTATATTATTTATTTGGGTTGTGCTGGGTGGATGGATTGTGTATTTATTCGAACTCTGCTAATAAACGTGCGACTGATTTCTATGGAGTCTAAGAGGGCATCTGAGATATTTCGGGAAGATCCCACTTCCCTAACCTCAGTTTTCCCAGGGGAGCTAGTGTAGGGGTCAGGAGTAGGGTCAGGGAATGGGTGGCAAGATGCCAGGCCATCATAGAGCGTTGTGACATCTTGGGGCTGATGAGATGACTCATTGGGTAAAGGTGTTTACAGCCAAGCCTGAGGACCTGAGGTGCATGGTGGAAGGAGAGAACCGCCTCCTGAAAGTTGTCTTCTGATCTCTACATGAGTGCTGTGGTACATACATAAATAAATATACCGTTATAAGAAAACAAATTTTAAGGCAGGTGCGGTGGCACTTGCCTTTAGTCCCAGCATTCCCAGCAGAGGCAAACAGATCTCTGTGAAATCCAGGTCACTCTGGTCTACACAGGGAGGCCAGCCAGGGCTGCAAGGAGACCCTGCATAAATTAAAAAAAAAAAAAAAAAAAAACACCAAACAAAAAAATAAACTAAAAAAATTTGTTTTTTGTTTTTTAAAAAA